TTGCGCGTCCTCCATTTTGTAAGTAAAACAGTAACGACTTACGTGTTCTTTGTTCGGGGTCACCAATTATGGAGGTTAACCACAATGTAATATTCTTAGTTATGGACTTATTAGTTCTACTAACTATCGATAATTTTACTCTATTATAACTGTTTATTGATGCTATTAAATGCTGGTTAACTTACTAAATCATTTAATGAAATATCTATTTATGTAGAGCGAAGTAGTTTGTGTTAGAATACATTTAGGCCAATTTTGGACACTTAAATTAACATTACAAAAAATTCATAGATCGTGTGGTGTAAATTGCTTTTCAGAGCAGCCTCTTTTAGACACCGCACAATAAATATATAGGTGAGCTACGGCGTAGACCTCATAAACGTTTCAGAGCGAGCGAGCGTAGACGCGCGGGTGCTACGCCGCGCAGTTACGAATATTTTGATCAACAAAATTGAATAATAAAATTCGTTAACTTAATTTTTTTCTAATAGTTAAAGTAAAGAGTATTAAAAATTAACTTTTTTTTAATAAAATATATAAATTGGCTTTCTCTGTTTCCCGAACTTCGTACTAAAACTACCGGTAAGTTTGATAATTTGGATTCATAAGTAATGTTTATTACTTGATTTGTTTGTAGATATTAATGATTTCGTTAAATTAGATTACTTTATTGTTATCTGATATGGTTTTATTTAAATTTTGTATAACTTATTTTATACTATAGTTTGACTTAAGTTATTTTGAATTAAGAATTGTTTTTATTTCAGGAAATTATTACTTTATAGAACATTACAATATCCATTTCAGAATAATTGTTACTATAAATGAAAAATAAAACTAAACCCGCTAGTTTAGTTTTATTTTTATATACGCTTATATTTCAAAAGTTTTGTTCCATAACATCTGTCCGTCGTGAATATAAGAGACGCAATTTGACAGAAGGTTTCATACATTATTTGGAGATTTATTTTTGCCGAATGGTGTTCTCTCCATTCAGATATGATTGTTTTTATGTTAATAAGCTAATTCTAAATATTTTAAACGACAAAAACTGTTTACTGCGTAGTTACATACTATTTGTTTTAATTTAAATTGTTGCAACTTCACTATGTTTTCTCCACAAGAAAATTTATGTAAACGTTAATTTTAAAATCGAAAAACAGCAGGGATCGAAGTCTGGACTTCTAGACAAGTCCTGTATTTAACCAACTGTGGTACTGACGCATTATGTATGACTAACTTTCGCCCGTGACTCCGTCCGCGTGGAAATAAAAAAAAACTAAAGTGAGTAACCTATATGTTCTTCCAGACTATGCTTTACATCTATGCTAAATTTCATCGAGATGCGTTCAGCAGTTTAGGCTACAAAACTCTAACATTCATCCATCTAAACTTTCGCATTTATAACATTAGTATAAGTTACAGATAATAAAATAATTTTAATAATGCAACTTTTTAAACTTATTACGGCTAACACTGTAGGAGAGGGACTATAAAATTTAGTCAATATCCATTAAATATTTATGAAGTTTCCCTCGTAGCGTTACATCCAGGGAACGTTTTATTGTGGCCTGACCGTTTATAAAGGCGCCGACATTTATAGCGCAATGAATATTGATTACACTCTACATAATCAATCTCGAGTTTGCTCCGGGGTTCTAAACACAACGATGACGGATTTGCTTGCAATTTTGTTGGCGCTGCATGTTTACGATAACTAACTGTTTTTTTTTTATAACATAAGGTGGCAAACGAGCAAGCGGCCCCCTGAAATCGCCAAAATGGCGAAGCGACCGCTGTCCATAGACATCCGCAATTGCAGATGCGTTGCCTACCCTTATACGACGGAGGAGGAGACGCACATAAAGAGGATATTTCCCCTTCCTATGCATCTCCTCCACCGTCAAATCCACTTCCTCTTCCCAACCTCTCCTTGTAAGAAAAGGGTGGTAAAGAGAAAGGGACTTAAATTAGGCCTCCGGCACCACACTTATCAGACGAAACACGGAATTGCTTCCATTTCACGCCTGTCTTCTGTGTGGTCGTGGTATTACACCGGGTGTGCCGGCCCTGCAGTGCTAAGATGTTAAAGCGGGCACTACCACTGTTAAACTTACAATAGTAAGGTGTCAACCTTGACAGTGCAAGACAACTGCTTGAAATAACTATTAAAGTATACAACCGTTGTCAACTGCCCGTGTATGTCAGTCATAAGACTGAATGTGATAGAAATTTTTTGCATGTTTCCAACCAACGAAGTTAGACTTCGCTGTAACTACGCGTAAATAGAGATATAATACTCCAAATTTATTGGTAGTCATTAGTACTAGTGTTATAAAAGAAATTATTAACATATGTTGTTCGCTTGATAACGTAGCTTTTTATTTGTGGAATAATTTTCGAAATCGGCCCAGTAGTTTTTGAGTTATTTCATTACATATAAAAATCGAAATTACAAATCTTTTCTCTTTATAACTCTTACTTCTTACTAATATCATAACTGCGAAAGTTTAGATGTATGGATGGATGTTTGTTAGAGTTTGTAGCCTGAACGGCTGAACGGATCACGATGAAATTTGGCATAGATGTAGATGATTGTTTGGCAGAACACATAGGCTACTACTTTTGTTTTTTTTTTTAATTTCTCACAGAGGGAGTCGCGCGCGAAAGCTAGTATTAGTATATATATAGAGTACAGATATAGAATATCTTGTCAACGTCAATAACTAGGTAAAATAAAAATGGCGACGATATATGAAGAACATAAGATTAGCCCTTGGTATTGCTTAATCGAATAGATTGTTGTCGTGGAATTAATATTGCGCGTTTGAAATTCTAATTTGAAGAATGAAGAAACATATCCACAGATAATGCTATTAAAAGTAACTCTGTGAATTAATTTTACTCTGTTTATAAAGTTCAAAAACTTTA